ACTCACACAGCCTCCTACACCCTCTCACTTTCACATATCTCTACAACCCATCACCTCTATACCAGGTTAGGGCAGGGGTGAGGCTAAGCGTTCGGTGTGAGGTTGCTGCTAGGCTGGGTTAGGGCAGAAGAAGCAGACAGCAATTGGTGTGACTTCTGGGCCCACTCTGAGCAACAACAGACCGTCACCACCACCATCACTGTAAGGCTGTCATCAGAGGAGAGGAAATACCTACACCACACACACGTCAGGCTCTACTCATCAGGTGTGTGTTAAGCATGACACACTACTCTGGCTTCTGTACACTCTGTCACCCACACTCACCCCTTAATCTCCCATCTCTTATGGTTTCTCGACACACACACACACACACACACACACAGAGGCGTCTTTTGGTGGTGAAGCGAGCCAAATAAGAGGAAGGCTGGCAAGGTGTTCTGAAGGAGCCTCAGCACCTCCCTACCCTGTCAGGAGCTCAAGCAAATCCTCCACATCTATAGGGACGGGAGGATAACTGTGTGTGTGTGTGTGTGTAAAACGTCTGAGCCGCTATTCACACCGATATTGGACGTTACTAAAACCTGGAATGGTAGGGGAAGGGAGGGAGGAAGAGGGAAGATATGGAGGGAAGGAAGGAAGGGGGAGGGAATGACTGGGAGGGGAGAGAAGAGTAAAGAAGGAGGGAGGGTAAGGAAGAGCACAGTGAGGGAGGAAGAGGAAAAAGGTAGAGAGACGCACGGGACAGAGTGAGGGGTCAGGAGGGTCGGGGAGGGGTTGGGGAGGGTCGGCAGGAAGGGTCAGGAGGGTCGGGCAGGGAGGGGTCAGGAGGCTGCAGGGGAGGGGTCAGGAGGGCTTGCAGGGGGTCAGGAGGTCGGCAGAGGGGTCAGAGGGTCGGCAGGAGGTCAGGAGGGTTTGCAGGAGGGGTCAGTGGAGGGTTTACAGGGAGGGGTCAGGAGGGTGGTCAGGGGGGGTCAGGAGGTGGGTGGGGAGGGCTGCAGGGGAGGGGTCAGGGGTGGGGAGGGGTCAGGAGGGTCGGAGGGAGGGGTCAGGAGGGTCTGTGGAGTGGTCAGGAGGGTTGTGAGGGAGGGGTCAGGAGGGTTGTGAGAAGGGGTTAGGAGGTGGGGAGGCTGGGGTGGGTAGAGGGTCAGGAGGGTGGTAGGGGGGTCAGGGGAGGGGCAGGGGAGGGGGCTGGGGAGGAGGGGAGGGGTGAGGGATGGTGGGAGGTCTGGGAGGGCTGGGGAGGGGTCAGAGGGTTTGGAGGGAGGGGTCAGGAGGGGTGGGCTGGGAGGGGTCAGGAGGGTGGGCAGGGGGTGGGGGTGAGGGGAGGGGTCAGAGGGTCGGTAGGAGGTCAGAGGGTCGTAGGAGTGGTGAGGGGGTCAGTGGAGGGGTCAGGAGGTCGGGAGGGGGGGGAGTGTGGGGAGGGGTGGGGTCAGGAGGGTCGGAGGGAGGGTGGAGGGGTCAGGAGGGGTCAGAGGGTGGGGAGGGATGGGTCAGGAGGCGCAGGGAGGGGTCAGGAGGGTCGGCAGTGAGGGTCAGAGGGTCGGCAGGGGAGGGAGGGAGTTAGGGAAGGTAGGCAGGGTGGAGGGACAGGAGGAGAGACGAAGGAAGGGATGAAGGGTCACGAGGGGAGAGGGAGGGAAGGATCAGGGTGGAGAGGGTAGGGGGGAGGGGTCAGGGGAGGGGGGAGGGCGAGGTGGGGCTGGAGGTAAGGTTTCAGAGAGATCATCGCCACACACAAATCTGATTTGGTCGCTTTACTCTTGTACCACGACGTGGTCTTACTTGCTTCACCTGGATCTTCATTTCTTGATCTTTCTATTTTTCTATTTCTACTTTTTGTCCTTTGTTCACACGCCTGTTCTTTCTTGTTCCCACGCCCGTCTTCTTTGTCTACGCCTGTCTTCTTGTTCCCACGCCCGTCTTCTTGTTCCCACGCCCGTCTTCTGCTGCCAGGCCCGTCTTCTGTTTCCCACGCCTGTCTTCTTGTTCCCACGCCCGTCTTCTTTGTTACGCCTGTCTTCTTGTTCCCACGCCCGTCTTTTTGTTCCCACGCCCGTTCTTCTTGCCCCCACGCCCGTCTTCTTGTTCGGCACGACCGTCTTTGTTCCATGCCTGCCTCTGTCTTGCGTCTGTCTTTTGTTCCTGTGCCTGCCTCTTTGTTACCAGGCCTGCTCCCACGCCTGTTCTTCTTGTTCCCACGCCCGTCTCTTGTTCCCAGGCTCGTCTCTTGTTCCCAGGCCTGTCTCTTGTTCTGCGTCTGCCTCTTGTTCCCAGGCCCGTCTTCTTTGTTCCCACGCCCGTCCTTTGTTCCCACGCCCGTCTTTGTTCCCACGCCCGTCTTTGTTCCCAGGCCCGTCTTCTTGTTCCCAGGCCCGTCTTCTTGTTCCCAGGCCCGTCTTCTTGTTCCCACGCCTGTCTTCTTGTTCCCACGCCTGTTTCTTTGTTCCATGCGTGTGTTTTATTCCCACGCCTGTTCCTTTGTTCCCACGCCTGTCTTCTTGTTCCACGCGTGTGTTTTTGTTCACGCCCGTCTTCTTGTTCCCACGCGTGTGCTTGTTCCACGCCTGTCTCTTGTTCCCACGCCCATCTTCTTGTTCCCACGCCCACTTATTTGTTTCACGCCCACACATTTGCAATTTCGCGTTTACATTTTTAATTTGCTTCACATATTTGGTTTATGCACACATGTACACAATTGCTTGCCCATATATTACTTGGGCCTATGTTTCATACTGTAAATTTCGCAATTTTACGTTTACATACTTTACTACGTCTATATTTTATTTACGCTACACATTTCTGTTACATAATATATTTGTTACATGTTTGGGTTATGTAACTTTCATTTACGTTTACATTTTGTATATACATTGTAAATTTATGTTTACATAAATTTTTTTTACGTTTTACACACATTATAGTACACACTAAATTATGTATGCTAATTTACGATACAATTTGGTATGTTTTAACATATGTTTTTTACGTTAAGATATTTTTGCTTTTTATGTATATAGACATTTGTAAATTTACGTTTACCATATTGTTTAATACTGTATTTGATGTTTATTTTCTATTTACGTTTACATTTTTTAAATTTACGTTTACATAATTTAATGTTCATATACTTTTTGTTTACATATATGTTTACGTTTACATATTTTTTTACGTTTATGCTTTACGTTTCATTTTATTTAAAATTTAGTATATTTATTTACGTTTATGCACTTATTATGCTTACATTTAACCATGTTTACACATTGAATTTATGTTCACACATGTAACATGCTCATATATTTATGCCTACTAAGGATTTTACATGTTTTGATTTACCACGCCCACACACTTACCCACGTCCACACACTCTTACCACGCCTACACTTCTATAAAGGTCAGGCCATTGTGTAGTACTCTCCTTACAAAAACAGTGGGAGGAAGGGAGGTAGTGAGGAGGGAGGAGGTAGGAGGAGGGGGTAGTGGGAGGAGGTAGGAGGAGGCAGGGGGGAGGTAGTGGGGGAGGTGGGGAGGTAGGGAAGGAGGTAGTGAGGGAGGTAGTGGGGAGGTAGGAAGGTAGTGAAGGAGGTAATGAGGGAGGGTAGTGGGGAGGTAGTGAGGGAGGTAGTGGGGAGGCAGGGGAGGTAGGAGGGAGGGGCAGGAGGGGAGGTGAGGAGTAGTGGGGGAGGTAGTGGGGAGGTAGGGAGGGAGGTAGTGGGGGAGGGAGGGAGGAGGTAGGGGAGGTAGTGAGGAGGAGGCAGGTGGGGAGGTAGGAGGTAGGGAGGAGGCAGGAGGGAGGTAGGGAGGGAGGTAGTAGGAGGAGAGGCAGTGAGGAGGTGAAGGAGGTAGGGGAGTAGTGGGGAGGTAGTGAGGGAGGAGGAGTGAGGGAGGTGAAAGAGGAGGGAAGGAGGTAGTGAAGGAGGTAGGAGGAGGAGGTAGGGGAGGAAGGAGGGAGGAGGAGGGAGGTAGGAGGGGAGGTAGTGAGGAGGAGGAGGGGAGGCAGTGGAGGAGGTAGTGAGGGAGGTAGTGGAGGAGGTAGGGAGGAGGTAGTGTGAGGGAGGTAGTGGGGGAGGTAGAGGGGAGGTAGTGAGGAGGAGGGAGGAGGTAGGGGGGGAGGTAGGGGGGAGGTAGGAGGGAGGTAGGAGGAGGTAGGGAGGGGAGGGTAGTGGGAGGGGAGGTAGGAGGAGGTAGTGGGGAGGTAGTGGGGGAGGTAGTGAGGGAGGAGGGAGGGAGGAGGGGAGGGGAGGTAGTGAGGTAGTGAAGGAGGGAGGGAGGGGTGAGGGAGGTAGGAGGAGGGAGGGGAGGTGTAGGGGAGGTAGGTGAGGGGAGGTAGGAGGGAGGTAGTGGGGAGGTAGTGAAGGAGGTAGTGAGGGGAGGTAGTGGGAGAGGTAGGAGGGAGGTAGGAGGAGGTAGTGAGGGAGGTAGTGAGGGAGGTAGGAGGAGGCAGTGGGGAGGAGGTAGGGGAGGGGAGGTAGTGGGGAGGAGGTAGTGGAGGAGGTAGTGAGGGAGGTAGTGGGGAGGTAGGAGGGGAGGCAGGGGAGGGAGGTAGTGGAGGAGGTAGTGAGGAGGCAGTGAGGAGGGAGAGGAGAGGTAGGGAGGGAGGTAAGAGGAGGGGAAAGTGAAGGAGGTAGGGGAGGAGGGAGGAGGTGAGGGGAGGTAGTGGGGAGGTGAGGAGGAGGGGGGGAGGTAGTGAGGGGAGGCAGTGAGGGAGGTAGTGAGGGAGGTAGTGAGGGAGGGGGTGAAGGAGGTAGGGAGGGAGGTAGGGAGGAGGTAGGAGGGAGGTAGGGGGGAGGTAGTGAGGGAGGAGTGGGAGGGAGGTAGTGAGGGAGGTAGAGGAGGAGGGAGGGGAGGTAGTGAGGGGAGGTGGGGAGGGAGGAGGGAGGAGGTAGTGAGGGAGGTAGTGGGGAGGGGAGGGAGGGGTAGTGAAGGAGGAGGGGGAGGTAGTGGAGGAGGTAGTGAGGGAGGTAGGAGGAGGCAGTGGAGGAGGTAGTGAGGGGAGGTAGTGGGGAGGTAGGGGGGAGGGGAGGGGAGGTAGTGGGGGAGGAAAGGGAGGGGAGGCAGGTGGAGGAGGTAGTGAGGGAGGTAGTGAGGAGGTAGTGGGGGAGGCAGTAGTGAGGAGGTAGTGGAGAGAGAGGGAGGAGGGGAGGTAGTGAAGGAGGTAGGGGGGGAGGTAGTGAGGGAGGTAGGGGAGGTAGGAGGAGGGAGTGGGGAGGTAGTGAGGGGAGGAGGGGGAGGTAGTGAGGGAGGAGAGGGTGGGGGAGGGGAGGTAGAGGGGAGGAGTGGGGGAGGGGTGGGGAGGGAGGTGGGGAGGTAGTGAGGGAGGGGAGGTAGAGGGAGGTAGGGGAGGAGGAGGAGGAAAGGAGGTAGTGAGGGAGGGAGGGGGAGTAGTAGGAGGTAGAGGGAGGTAGGGGAGGGAAGGAGGAGGGGAGGTAGGAGGAGGTAGGGGAGGTAGTGGAGGGGAGGTGGGGAGGTAGGGAGGAGGTAGGAGGAGGTAGGGGGAGGGGAGGTGAGGTAGGGAGGAGGAGGAGGGGAGGTAGTGAGGGAGGTAGTGAGGGAGGAGGGGGAGGCAGTGGGGGAGGTAGGAGGGAGGGAGTGGGGAGGTAGTGAGGAGGGAGGGGGAGAGAGGGAGGTGGAGAAAGGAGGGAGGTAGGAGGAGGAGGGGAGGTAGTGAGGGAGTGTGTGAGGGGAGGCAGGAGGGAGGTAGGGAGGTGGGGGGAGGTAGGGAGGGGGAGAAGGAGGGAGGCAGGAGGGAGGGGGGAGGGGTGAGGGAGGTAAGAGGGAGGTAGGGAGGGGAGGTAGGGAGGGAGTGGGGGGAGGTAGTGAGGGAGGTGTGGGGGAGGTAGTGAGGAGGTAGGAAGGAGGTAGTGAGGGAGGTAGGGAGGAGGTAGTGAGGGGAGGTAGGGGGAGGTAGTGAGGGAGGTAGTGAAGGAGGTAGTGAGTGAGGAGGTAGGGAGGAGGAAGTGAGGGAGGTAGTGGGGGAGGTAGTGAGGGAGTAGGGGGAGGTAGTGAGGAGGTAGTGGGGAGGTGAGGGAGGTAGTGAAGGAGGGAGGAGGGAGGCAGTGGAGGAGAAGGGAGGGAGGGAGGGGGAGGTAGTGGGTGGGGAGGCAGGAGGAGGGAGTGAGGAGGTAGTGAGGGAGGAAGGAGGTAGGAGGAGGCAGTGGAGGAGGTAGTGAGGAGAGTGGGGGGAGGTAAAGGGAGGGGGAGGTGAGGAGGTAGGGGGGAGGTAGCAGGAGGTGAAGGAGGTAGAGGGAGGAGGAGGGGAGGCAGTGGGGGAGAGGCAGGAAGAGGAGGTAGTGGGGAGGAAGTGAGGGAGGTAGGGGAGGGGAGGTAGGGGGAGGTAGTGAGGGAGGTAGGGGGAGGGAGGGGAGGTGAGGAGGCAGTGGGGGGAGGGAAGGGAGGGAGGTAGGGGAGGAAGGAGGGGAGGGGGAGGAAGGAGGGAGAGGAGGGGAGGAAGGAGGAGGTAGGGGAGGTAGTGGGGAGGAGGAGGAGGTGGGAGGAGGGGAGGTGTGAGGAGGCAGTGGGGGGGAGGTAGTGAGGAGGTAGTGGGGGAGGAAGTGAGGGAGGTAGTGGGGGAGGAAGTGAGGAGGTAGTAGGGAGGGGGAGGAAGTGAGGGAGGTGAGGGAGGTAGTGAGGAGGAGTGAGGGGAGGTAGGTGGAGGGGTGGAGGAGGTAGTGGGAGGTAGTGGGGAGGCAGTAGGGAGGTAGGAGGGGAGGTAGTGAGGGAGGAGGAGGGAGGTAGTGGGGAGGAAGTGAGGGGAGGCAGTGAGTGGAGGCAGGAGGAGAGGAGGAGGTAGGAGATGATGGGAGGAGGGAGAGGCAGTGAGAGGAGGAGAGGCAGTGAGAGGAGGGGAGGAGTGAGAGGAGGGGGAGGTAGTGAGGGAGGGGAGGCAGTGAGAGGAGGAGAGGTAGTGAGGGGAGGGTAGTGAGAGGAGGAGGGGGGAGGTAGTGAGAGGGGGAGGTAGTGAGAGGAGGGAGAGGTAGGAGGAGGGGGAGGTAGTGAGATGAGGGGAGGAGGGAGAGGTAGGAGAGGAGGGAGAGGCAGGAGAGGGGAGGGGGGAGGTAGTGAGAGGAGGGGGAGGTAGTGAGAGGAGGGGGGAGAGGTAGGGAGGGGGAGGGAGAGGTAGTGAGAGGAGGGGGAGGTAGTGAGGGGAGGGGAGGTAGTGAGAGGAGGGGAGGAGGAGAGGTGGGAGTGAGGAGAGGCAGGTGGGTGGGAAAGGAGGCAGTGAGAGGAGGGGAGGTAGTAAAGGAGGAGGTGAAGTGAGAGGAGGAGACATAGGAGGCAGTGAGAGTGGAGAGGTAAGTGAGAGGAGGGGAGGTAGTGAGGAGGAGGGGGGAGGTAGTGAGAGGAGGGAGGTGGTGAGGGAGGGGGGGGAGGTAGTAAGGGGTGGAGAGGCAGAGAGGAGGAGGGAGGAGGAGGAAGGAGGAGGAGGGGAGGTAGTGAGAGGGGAGGGGAGGCAGTGAGAGGAGGGGGAGGTGAGTGAGAGGAGGGAGGTAGGAGAGGGGAGGTAGAGAGGAGGGTGAGGTAGAGGAGGGAGAGGTAGAGGGGAGGGGAGGAAGAGGAGGAGGGGAGGTAGTGAGAGTGAGGTAGAGGAGGGGGGAGGCAGTGAGAGGAGGAGGATAGAGGAAAGGGAGGAGGG